TATTTTAAAAGATGTTCATCACAAAATATAACTCCTCTTTGGTGAGATTTTCACGATGCGCTAACACTAGTAGCCAGATTGTGTACTGGTTGGTATACGTAGCGGGCTTACATGGCAGGTCTTCTACGATTTTCTTAAATGATTGTAAGTGATGGATGTTATAGTATAAATCCATGCTAGGATAACCCTCTTCATTTTAATATGCCATAATCTTGCAAAATACGAGTTCGCACGGGAGATATTGCGCATGCGCGCACCGTGTTAGGCGTGCAGTGGCGTCTGGGGATTAAACTTCATAATTAGCTTGCTGAGGGGGAAAGGGGATGGGGACTGGAGGAACGGCGGCAGAGAAGATAGCGTGGGGCGGTAGGAAGAAGAAGAGGCTGAGCCGAGGCGACAGCGGAGGCAACGGGGAATGGACGCGAGGGGCGGCTAAGTAGTTGTTTCTGTCCCTACATGATAGGCGCTCTTCCTAATTATTAAACACAGCGTCTACTGTATAAACGTTTATTAGGGAATCTATGCTGAGATATCCCCTAACCATTTTAAATGTTATTTCATCACAAAATATAACTCCTCTGTAACGTCATTGCGCATGCGCTAACACACTAACTTAGCAGAGTGGTGTACTGGGGGTATACGCAGGGCGACCTTACATGCCACGGTCTTCTGCGTTTCTTAATGATGTCAACTGATGAATGATATCACATAATCTATGTAGGATAAATCCTCCGTTCAGTTTTAAAATGCAACATCTTTGCAAAATACGATTGCTCTCGCGGAGATATTGCGCATGCCGCGCAGTGGAAATCTATGCTTGCAGATACCTCCTAACCATTGGTACAATGCATATTCATCTCAAAATATAACTTCCTCTTGGTGAGATATTGCGCATGCGCTTAACACACTACGCAGGCGACAGATATCCCACTGCCAGTGTGGCTTTAGGCCTTCGTCCCCGCCGCGTGGCTTCCAGACCCCGTCAGCCTCACCGCGATAAAACCCTTCTCGACCGAATTGTCTTTTTGTTACGTATATTTGTAATGCCTACAACATGTTCCATAGGTATATGCCGAATTGTATTTCCATAGCCATAAATATGCTATTAATGGAAGAACAAGGCAAGCGCAAGTGCAGCATCGGTAGTTATTAGTAGCCACGTTATATTGTTACCGGCGTTCATATTTATATGAGCGGCGTGCCTAACTAGGCCACCTATATAGATTGTAATAATAGTGTATGTGGGGCCAAGGCCAATATAGGATTGTATGCGGGGGCCTAAGGACCTATATCAGTATTGATCCATAATAGTGTATGCGGAGGCCAACGCCACATACTATATTTTGGTATGACGGGGGTCTAGACCACCTATATAGATATGATAATAGAATAGTGTATGGGATGGAGGGCCCAAGGCCACATATAGTATTGGTAATGACGGGGGGCCTAAGCGGCCACCTATATAGTATTGTAATAATAGTGTATGCCGGAGGCGCCCAACGCCACATATTATAGTTTCGTATGACGGGGCCTAAGGGCCTCCTATATGTATTGTATAAGAGTGTTGCTGTGGGCCGATGCCCCATATTATAGTATTTGTTTGACGGGGGACTAAAGGCCCTATATTAGTATTTGTAATAATAGAATTAGTGTATGATGGGGCTCATTGCCACATATATAGTATTTGATATAACGAGCCTAATGCACTCTATATTAGTATTGTAGTATATTGTATGCTGGCGCCCACCAGGCCGTGAATATAGTATTGTGTATTGAAGGGAGCCTATTGCGCTTCTATATATAGTGTGTGGTAAGCTTGGTTGTAAGCTATACCGCCTCCTTGCAAAGAAGTAAGCGATCACTTGCACTAGTGTATTATTGCGCAGCGGGGCCCTAGCGCCCCCGGTGGCTTAAGGTACCTTGTGATATGGATACTCTGTCGCCTGTCCACTGGGTGTCCGTCATCTTCCATGCGCGCATGCCGCCATACGTGCGTCAGTATGCATGTCTAATAATAACTATTTTTGCTTTATGTTGGGGCTCATGTATTAGAAGGACTGCAGTCTCCAGCCGGTTGCGGTTGGAGGGGTTGCAAAGCGGCGGTGCTTTGCATGTTCACACGGCCGTCATGCTCAAAAACATTCATCTTTCAGCTCTATGTGGTCAGTGTTGCTAAGCTCCTGCGCATATACCGCACGCCGATACACACCTACACCTGCAAAACGGAAGCACAGATACACACACAGCGCACGTACACCCGCATACGCAAACGCGCATGCTCACACGCACACAAATATGCTACACACGCACGCACCACACGCGCCCGGCACACACATGTTCGCACAATGTACGCCCACGTACGTATATGACCACGCCGCACGCCACACGTACGTCTGCACCTACGGCCACGCACGCACGTAGCACAGAATTTATACGTCCACAGTCTAAAGTAAACCTTCATTTTTACCCATCGTATTAGTAAGGTTAGTTATTCATTAACATAGTTGCGTTATAGTATGGGTAGGTTACGCAAGTGGCGCATCAGTGGACGTAGCTAGATTTTTTTTAGTGGGGGGGCATGGAGAGGCCTTACATTTTCGTGGGGGGCCACAATATCAACTTTTCTTGTATTTATACTGTTCTAACGGCATTGTTTTAATTCAATTTTTTTTTGAAACACAATCAGGGGGGGGCACTGGGGGGGCCCAAGCCAAATGGGCGGCGGCACGTGCCCCCCCAGGCCCCCCCCCCCGTAGCACGCCACCGCCCCATCTACCGCCTGTGGGGCCGGCGGGTCGGCAACCCTGCAGGGGCTATCACACTGGCACAATTTTCGGTGGACCGTAACTAATCTATTTTATTCCCCATTATTTTTGGACAAAGTTTACAACGATACATAACAATAATATATGATTAGAACATTGTATTTTCAATACACACACATAATAAAATAATATATTCTAAAATTACAATATACGTAATATAATATCTGGCATAAAGAAATATTATTGACATTGTTTTTGTTCACGCCTGGCGTAAATACGTTATGCATATGTAATGGACGGGCAGATGAGAGCCAAGGTGACCTTCATAGTTGCCAGGAGACTAACTCGGTGAGTGTATGTCGGTTGGCCTACCTCGACCGGCTATCTCCACCACCCTCATCGGTTTCCGATCTCCGGAGCTTGTGGAGGTACCCTGTTACTCTGTTCATCGGGCCTCATGGCCGTGTTTGGTAGACGTATACCAGGAGGTTGCTGACCATGCTTGGATGCAGGAATCTGCCTACCTAACAGCCATTTCGTAACCCGATAAGTAGGTTGACTACTAGTCGCGTTCACACGGTCATGATTTGGCTCGAGCAAATGGCTAGATTTGGCTCGGCCAAATTTGGCTCGGGGCCGGTTTGAGTGGGCGCTGTTTCCACATACGCAAGTGAATACCTGTCCTTCAAAGTTCAAATTAAAATGTAAAAAAATTTTATTGCGCAAATGATCTCACAGTAAATTGGCAGTAGTCGCGACGATGGCGTTGGTTTACTATTTTAGAGTATTTACCTTACGTTCCGCAGTTTAATTATCAATTTGAAAACGTGCATCCTGATCACATTTTTCGAAATTTTTATACTTGTTTTTGGAACTTTTTACTGTTTGGAATTTTTTATACATTTTTTTAATTTTTTTTTTTATTTTAATTTATTTTTTTTATATTTTAATATTTTAATGTTATAAAGCTTTATACTTTTTACTGATTTCAACTGTTCTAGTAATTTCTACTTCTCTACCGCCTGCGAAGGTGGTGCTAAATTTGGCTCGGGCCTGGTCGACGTTTTCGATGGGGCCAAATCTGGTCTCGGGCCTAATTAGGTCGGCCAAAAACCGTCGTGGTAAACGCCTCGGCTCGAGCCACAAATCTGGCACGGCTATTAGCTCGGGCCAAAACCGTCCGTTGTGGAACGCGCCTTATAGGTGCAACGCTGCGCACATGAAAAACGCCCACGCGCACGCACGCAATTCCGTGGACACCCATGCACGCACTCACCAGTGTATAACGAGTTTATATCGTTATACTTCGAGCTCTGAAGACCTGCACTTTGTGATTAGATAGATGGATTTCCCTCTACCTGTAGTTGCCAGTGTTTTACCTGTATTTACCATGTTTTTTTCCAGTGTTTATTCTGTATTTTACACCTATTTTTCAGTCTTCACCTGTTTTACGTTATGAGCACGCAATTTTACATTTATTCACTTATATTTTACCTGCGTTTACCTGTATTTACCTGTATTTTACTATGTGAGAATGTATGAGCGTCCTTTGCAGCGATGAACAAAAAAAAAAAATGGTTGGCTGACGCGCTGTGACGGATGGTGCTTAAGGCGTTCCAGACCTTTTCGTTTACGGTCATCTACCTTGTGCACGGTGCCGACCTTCTCCCTACCGAAGTGCGCTCTACTGTCATCAAGCTGCGTTCAAGTGCTCGGCTTCCTGGGTCGTGCCTCACAGTTACCTACATCATTTACCTTCGTACGTATCCACCTAGCTATCAATTTTAAGCTGAATAATATATATAACTAATATAATAATAATCTATAATAATAATAATAATAATAACAACATTATAATGATATTATAATAGCAATATATAATATATAATTATTTATTATTAGGAGCAAAATTTTTATAATGATCCATAGAGTTAAATAATGATTATATCACATGTAGATTGCCTTTTATACGTGTGATTTCGCCTAAATTTGATACTGTTTCACGTATAGAATGTTGTGTACATGTTTGTGTAACGCGTCTCTAGAGCGTGCTACGTGCGAGTGTGCGCGTTCGTGGTGCGCATGTAATTGTTGAGGAAATGTAGTCAGTTTTGTGTATACTATACGACTTTACGGGATGTATAGAACGATTACAACGAATTATTCGTTTGTCTCTAGCACATTATTTTACGGCGTTTTGCAGAATCAGGTCTACGAGTCGTTGCCATTGATCATATTTTGCGTGCTAGCGTTATCGTCGGGGATAGGGGTTCTGTTCGTACCGGAAACACACAATGAAAAGCTCCCGGAAACAATAGAAGAAGCGGAAGTATTCGGACGGAACAAGAGCATGTTTGACTTTTCTCTCAAGTAAGATATTCTGTTATATATATCAAGAGTACATAATGGGAGACCCCCCCATCTACATGGGGGTACATCTCCCATTATGTACTCTTGATATATATATATATATATATATATATATGTGTGTGTGTGTGTGTGTGTGTGTGTGTGTGTGTGTGTGTGTGTGTGTGTGTGTGTGTGTGTGTGTATGTGTGTGTGTTTGTGTGTGCGCGCGTGTGTGCGTGTATGTGCGGGCGCGCGCGCATGTGTGTGCGTACGTGCTTGTGTGTGTGCGTGCGTGTATGTGCGTATAATATAACTTTATATACAGCTGCGCATAATACATAAATATGTACATACAAGAATATATACTGAAATAGGAGTCATCACAACATTTTAAACAACGCTAAATACATACATACATACATACATACATACATACATACATACATACATACATACATACATACATACATACATACAACATACATACATACATACATACATACATTACTACATACATTACATACATAACATACATTACATAACATACATACATACATACATTACCATACATACATACAACATACATAACCTACATACATAGCATACATAATAATAATACATACATACTACATACATACATTACATAACATACATACTCACATACATACATACATACATAGCATAATACGATACATACATACATAGCATACAGTACATACAATACAGACATACATAATACATACTACATACATACATACATCATACATTACTAATACATACATACATCATACATAATCATACATACATAGCATACATACATAAATACATACATACATACTACGTACATATCATACATACATACTACATAAATACATACGTACATACATAACAACATAACAGGCATACATACTAACATACATAGCATACTACATACATACATACATACATACATACATACATACATACATACATACATACATACATACATACATACATACATACGTACGTACGTACGTGCGTACTTAGGTACATGCACATGTATATACATATACGTATATATATATAATTTTATTATTATTTAATATGTTAACGAGTAAATTATTGCAATACGGTCCCCTCAATTTCAGGAGAACGCCTTACGTGAGACCGACGACAGAAGAGGAAAAAGAAGGAGTAGAGCTGAATCAGTTTAGCTGAGAGTGACTCACATCGACACTCATCAAGTCTTACAAACGCTCTGCTACGTTTGTTCATATTCTTGTAAAATCCCCTCGTTATTATTGATCCATACGATAGCATCACATCTCTAAAGTTAGTCAAGCGTAACAGCACGTTTAACAAAATTTGTAAAATCTCATAATAAAATAACGAATTACTACATATTTAATATGTAATAGTTTGTTGTGAAATATAAGATACGGACAGTTAACAGCGCAGATGAAGAACTGTCATCGAACGCGTTTGAAATACTTTAACGTGATATCACACGCAGCTTCTGGTCGTACATGCCTGCTCTTACTCCTCCATAAAAGCATAATTCATTTTAGATATAAATGTTTCAGCAAGCAAATAATGACAGATAAGTATTGATTTTATCGTCTTTTTATGTTTTATTTTACTCGGATACCAATACAACTATACAACTAAACAGTTTTTCCTTAAACCATAAATGTTATATTACCTAATATGTACTGTATATACCGTTAGGTTAATAAAGTTGATATATATTATATGAAGTTTATATAAGCAGCCAAGTGAGATACGTGTTATACGGGAGTGATGTCTTCGATTTCGAAAATTAAACTTCATACATGTATGGTTGAGTTATGAATTGTTATGCTGCATGCTATGCATCTTTCACGTATCAGTGATTTATTTTCCTGTTTCCCTTTTTTTACGATCAAGGTTTGATGATTATACCTGTTGTAGTTTACACGCGAGTTATAATTTTCTAGAACCTGAATTACTATAATAAAGATGCGGTGAACAGACGCACGCACGCATGCATGCATGCACTCACACAGGCACGCACGCACGCACGCACGCACACACACACACACACACAANGGATTCACCCCAACAATAACGTACCCCTATCTTCGACCCCGAAAATTGCTTCTTCTTTTTACTATATTAGTATAGCTATTAAACATTTACCATGGTATATGCAGATTGTATTCCAATAGGCTCATAGATATGCATTAAATAGGAAGAACGATACAAGCGCCAGTGCAGCCACTCGTAAGTTATTAGTCAGCACGTTATAGTGTTACCGCGCTGTTATATTTATAGACGGTGCCTAACTAAGCCATATATATAGAATTGTAATAAAGTTATGATGGGGCAAGCCACATATAGTATTTGTATGACGGAGCCTAAGGCCACCTATATAGTATTGTAAATAATAGTGTATGCTAGGGCACCCCCACGCCACATATATAGTATTCGTATGACGGGGCCTTATAGACCACCATATATAGTATTGTAATGAATAATAGTGTATGATGGAACGCCAAGGGCCACATATAGGTATTTGTATGACAGGGCCTAAGGCCACCTATATAGTATTGTAATAATAGTGTATCTGCGCGGCCAAGGTCACATTATATATATTTGTAATGACGGGGGCCTAAGGCCACCTATATGGTATTGATAATAGAATAGTGGTATGATGGGGCCCAAGGCCACATATATAGTATTTGTATAACGGGAGCCTAATGCCATCTATATAGTATTGTAGTATATTGTATGCTGGCTGCCCACCAAGGCCACATATATAGTCTTGTGTATGCAAGAGGGCCTAATGCCTCCTATTAGTAGTGTGTGGTAAGCCTGGTGTAAGCTATACGCCTCCTGCCAAGAAAAGTAAGCCTGCATCACTTGTACAGTGTGTATTATTGGCGCCAGCGGGCCCTAGGCCCCGGTGGCCTAAGGCTACACTTGGATATGGATATCTGTCGCCTGCCACTGGGTGTCCGCGCGCGCATGCGCATACGTGCGTCAGTACCATGCTAATAATAACTATTTTTGCTTTATGTTGGGCTCCATGTAGAGAAGGACACTCAGTCTCCAGCGTTGCGGTGGAGGAGTTGCAAAGCGGGTGCTTTGCATGTTCACACCGGCCGTCACTGCTCAAAATATTCATCATTGTCACTACTTGTGGTCGAGTGTTGGTAACTCCTGCGCATATACGCACGCACGAATACACACATACACCTGCAAACACGGAAGCACACATACACACACAGACGCACGTACACCCGCATACGCAAACGCGCATGCTCACACGACGCCAGCGCCCCCTGTACACATGCACGCACACACGCGCCCGCACACACATGTACGCACATGTACGCCACACGTACGTATGCACCTACGCACGCACGCCACACGTACGTATGCACCTACGCACGCACGCACGTACGCACACACAGAATGCGTCGCACAGTCTAAAGTAAACCATTTCATTTTTACCCCATCGTATTATAAGGTTAGTTATTCATTAACAATAGTTGCTATAGTATGGTAGGTTAACGCAAGTGGGAGCATTCACACAGTTGCACAATCTTACGGTGACCAGTAACTAATCTATTCATTCCCACATATTTTGACCAAGTTTACAACGATACATAACAATATATGCATAGAACACATTGTATTTCAATACACACACATAATAAAATGGTATATCATAATTACAATATACGTAATATAAATATATGGCATAAGAAATATATTGACATTGTTTTTGTTCACGCCTGGTAACATACGTTATGGCATATGTAATGGCGGCATGACGAGAGCCCAAGGTGACCTTCATCGTTGCAGGACGACTAACGAGGTGGTGTATGTCGGTCTGGCCTACCTCGCACCGGCTATCTCCACCAACCCATACATCGGTTTCCTCATCTCCGGAGCTGTGGAGGTACCCTGTTATCTGTTCATCGGGCCCATCATGGCGATGTTTGGTCGACGTATACCAGAGGTTGTGACCATGCTTGGTGCAGGAATCTGCCTCCTAGCAGCCATCTTCGTAAACCCGATAAGTAGGTAGACTATAGGTGCACGCGCGCACATGAAAAACGCCCACGCGCACGCACGCGCACGCACGCACACACACGCGCGCACATACACGCACGCGCGCGCCCACGCGCACGCACGCAAACACACACACAGCCATACGCTCTCACGTACGCACAGACGCACACATGCTCTCATATACGCACGTACGCCCGCAATCACGTGGACACGCACGCACTCACACAGTGTATACGGTCATGAACGCCTTAGCAACCATCGTCAACAGCGTCACCAACCAGTTCATCGCTGAAAGACGCTCATACATTCTCACATAGGTAAAATACAGGTTAAAATACAGGTAAACGCAGGTAAAATATAAGTGGAATAAATGTAAAATTGCGTGTCATAACGTAAAATACAGGTGAAACACTGAAAAATAGGGTGTAAAATACAGAATAAACACTGGAAAAATACATGTAAAATACAGGTAAAACACTGGCAACTACAGGTAGAGGGAAATCTCTTCTATCTAATCACAAAGTGAGGTCTTTCATGACTCGAAGTATAACGATATAAACTCGATTGTTCGTTTACGGTCATCTATGTGCACGGTGCCGAGCTCTACCCTACCGAAGTGCGCTCTACCGTCATCAGCTGCAGTTCACTGCTCGCTTCCGTGCTCATGCTCACAGTACCCTACATCATTTACCTCGTACGTAATCCATCTGTTCATCAATAATTTATTAAGCTGAATAATAATAATAATAATAATAACAACAATTATAATGATATTAATAATAGCAATATATAATAATAATAATTATTTATTATTAGGAAGCAACATTTTTATAATGATCACATTGG